TTTCTTTAAATTTATTTTATTTATTTTTTTTTTTTAATTTCACACATTTTCTTTTTACCAGGTCGTAATTTTAAAAAAATTTTGAATTTGTTAATTTGATCCTCTAATTACTTCGTAACACTTTTTCCACGCAGGTAATTTTTTTAAATTATTTCACTTAAATTACAGTTAATTTTATATCGGCTTTCTTGTTTTCTTATTGTTTTCCATTAGTCCAACCATTTTTTTTTAATGTCTTGTAAAAATGCCAAATAAATGCATCAAGCAAAAGCGCAGCACAAATTTAGCCATTGATTGATCCATTATCAATGGCTGAATTGAAATGCCAAAACATTGAGATGGCAAAACAAAGTGAAATAAATCTAGCAACAATCATATCAGTTCTACAAACGTGTTTTTTCTCTGCAAATATGCTCAAGAGTAAATAGAATGTGACAAGCACACTGAATAAATACCCTAATGTAAATCAAATTTTTAAAATATTTTAAATGAAATACTTTAAGAGACAGATGAATCTCGAGAAATGAAAATCTCGGCCAGCAATAAATAAAAATTTAATTCTTACAAAATTAAGTACAATATTTTCGGAACTCTACTCCATAATATTAATAAATTATTTTTGAAATTCTATCAAATTTACAGCTGTCTGCTACCTCTTACACTGGCAATTTACAGGGTATTATTCATTTGGAACTAACTTGCAAAACTACGCTTCAGGCACGTGGCCAACGAATACTCAAATTCCAAGTATGTGCCTGACATATATACATATAAATATATATTTATATAGATGTGTGCTTCTGTGTCTGTGTGTATGTATAGACTTGTATGTATTTGTGTGTGTGTGTGTGTGTAATTCAATTTGTGCGCCAAGCCAAACGCATAATGCGAAACATAAAACAGTCGAATGTTTCGTTTTCAGATTTGCTGCTTGCAAGCAAAAACAAAACGAACCAAGAACAAGAAAAGCGAAAAACGAAAATTTTCTGTTTCCGCTTAAATTTTATGCATAATCCTTGAAGACGCACCACATCCGGTGAGCTAACTTGCTGACTGTTGCCTGTGTTTGTTCAGCCGGCAAATATGTTATTTTATGTGCAATGTGGCTTAAAGCCAATGCTGTCAACGTTTCAGTTTCATTTTCTATTCGAGCAGCTTTGTTGGCCTTAAACTGCAATGAAATTAGCATAATTCTCAACTAAACACAATGTAATCGATGTGTGCTACAACAGCAACAACAWCAACAGGATATTCAATTTGCAATTTGCAATCTATGATTTGGCCTTTGGTTCTCAGATTTGCTCTCTGTCTTAAATTTGTTCTCTTTAAGTTCGCCAGTTTGACTCTCCAAATGCCATGCAAATAAAATTTAATATTCTCTTCGGCGCACTCAGGCGAAAGTTCTCTGCTTGCTTTCTTTTTTGCCTTCGGGCGAAATATTTCCAGAAAATGTTTGTTATTGGCTGAATGGCTGAGGGTTTTTCTTAGAGCTGGCTGCCAGTTATGCATGGCCGTTAAATGCTATAAATAAGCGATTTATGTTAAACATTAATACGATCAAAAGAGCCTCGAAAGCCTTCGAGCGGGATTAACAAGATTTAAGAGTGTAAACATTTAAGGCTCACTGACTCACCTGGCCATGTTGCAGGTGCGCCAACAGAAACCGAAAAAAAAAGAAATATCAATTAAGTGGATGCGACACAAACATAAAATCCAGCAGATTAAGGAGTATTTGACATTTCAGTTGAGCCCAAAACAAGTTGTTGACACACACTTACAAAATCAATATTTGCACAATTGAAGCATTGTCAATTGTCCAAAAAAAAAAAAAAAAAAAAAAAACAAACGAGAAAATATGTCATGAGATCATAAAAAAACATTTAACCAAAATCCCAAACTCTGGCAATCATAAAGATGCTAATTTCTTAAGCGTATAAAATGCCTGAAAATCGAAAAAGCTTATATAAATAATTGCAATTAAAGTATACAGGAATTGACTAACATTGTTTGGTAAGCGAGTATTATAAATATTATACTTGTTATTAGGCGAAACAATTTAAACAAATGCAAAAAGATTTTCAATTTTGAGATATTCAAAGAATTAATATCAGGAAAACAGCCCATAAAAAAGGAGTAGTAGTAGTAATAGTAGTAGTATAGTATTATTATTTTATTTTTTTGGGCTGAGGTAGGTAAAAATGCTTTATGCAGCGGAGAGTAGTAGTAATAATAGTAGAAGTAGTAGTAGTATTAATAGTAGTAATAGCAGTAAAAATAGTAGTAGTAGTGATAATAGTAGTAAAAGTAGTAGAAATAGTAGTAATAGTAGTAGTAATAGTAGTAGAAATAGTAGTAGTAGTAATAATAGTAGTAGAAATAGTACTAATAGTAGTAGTAATAGTAGTATAACTCATATCTGTCTTCTCCTTTTATATAGCGCTCTCATTTACTCGTGATGCATACTTACATATAAGAAAGCTAACCTTCGGTTGCTCAGCCGTAACTTCTACTCTTTTGGCTTCGTAATTGTCTCCCAGAATTGTCTACAAGCTCATCGCAGCTATTCTAATTGCTCTCGCTTTAACTTGAGCTTATTAGCTTTGCCTACAAAACACCAAAACAAACTGAAATAAATGACAATCAAATAATATTTCACAAAATAAATAAATAAATAAATATGAACTAATATTTGAAAAATACCGTATTTATTGTAAAGTAAAAAAAAAAAATTTATTATTAGCACTTTAAAAAATATAGCACCGAGACATAGATATGATAGATATTTATTTGGAGTATATATTTGCAATACTTGCAATAAATAAAAATAAATAAGTAAAGCCTGCAATAATTTACATGCATTTCTCACTTGTAAATAATAATTTATAGAATAAAAAAATTTTTCTATGCAGATATGTAAACGAAAATATTTTTTTAAATTTACATAAATACGATTCTCATTTCTAAATTTGAAAAATAGAACAAAAATTAAATAAT